GGCTTTAAACTGTTATTTTCAGAACTCAGATACTTGAAGAGCTAGGATTATAGTTGGTGAGCCACCAACTGTGGCTTCAGTGAGACTTTTTAAGATGGTAGATCAAATTTCATATATTTATGTAAAAACAGTATCACAGCAAATGGCTAACTGTAGTCAGCACTTGGGAGGCTGAGGCAGGATGATTTGGGAGTTTGAAACCAGTCTAGGCTACATATTGAGAACTTTAAAAAAAAAAAAACAACCCTAAAACAGAGGGAGGCGGGGAAAAGGGAGGGAGAAAAGAAGAGGAAAGAAAAAAGTTGAGGCAAATAGTGATATTTCTCCTAAGTTTATGTTTATTGAGAGGGAAAGAAAGTTGATCAGGAAAACTATAGGTGAGTTGAAATTTCTCTAGGGTAAAAGTTGGATAGATTCCACAGAAATAACCTTAATCTCTTATCTGTCTCAATAAAGGAACCTACAGACTAAAGAATTAAGTTATCTAGTTCTTAAAATTTGTTTTATTTTATCTGCTTACACACATTCTGTCTCCCATAGGGATACACAGGGTCTTTAGTACACTAAATGTAGAAAGATGAGAAATGCAATCTTGTTTAATGATATTCATGTGTATTATATTGATTTCAACTTAAGAGGTACAAGCCTCCTAACTTCTGTACACAGTTCCTTTTTAAACTTCAATGCCTATAGTTATCGGCCTCCTTACTTATTGAAACTTTCTTTACAGATATGGAAACTTAGTCCTACTCAGTTAAAAGAATCTCATATTTAGTTTAAAACTTTGCTCCAAGAAAACTACATCTGTGTTCCAACTCTGCATGTACTTCTCTCTTTTCTACATGCAAGCAAAATACCCTAAGTGCCTGACTATATGAGACTACTGTCCCCTTTTTGTAGGTCACTGTGACTTATCCAGCTTAGTGAGGAGACAGGAGGCTCACAACAGGCTACTGAAAATAAGCTCAAGCCAAAGCAGTCCACTGTGCTAATGGAGTGACATGTAGCCCTTGTTCTCTATCAACTGGCTCCCAGTTGGCAGTGGTGAATACTGTATTCTTGTCACACACCTTTTGTCCCATGTTCTGTTTTACGGACTGATTTACTCTCTGTGATGCCAATTCTTTTTAGTTCTGTAGGACTAGACAGGATCCATAGTACATGTCGTAAGTATTCACTGTAGTACTATCTTACTATCCTGCTTTAAAAAAAAAAAATCACTAATATAGGACCAATTCAGCAGACTTGCTGGTTGAGCAAACATCCAAATGATGAATGGAGGCATGTCTTCTTTTTTTGACGACAACCAAAACTTTACTAGCACTATGTAATAGGTAGACATTTCTTAAACAGAACCAAAAACACACTACCAATGATGAACCACATTAAGGACTTCATCATGACTATCCAAAGGAAGATATCTATTATATATATATATATATATATACCCAACTAGGAACTTATTTCTATAATATATAAATACACATATATAAATATATATGCACACTAGGAAAAAACGGATGCATGAGTATATATGAGTTTATATTAACCCTATTGTCCTGAGTGAACTGCAGAAGGAAGTTTTAATGGAGAGGCTAGGAGGAGCTGAATAGAGTGCTAGGACCCAGGAATATTGTTATCATTGAACCATTTAGTTTTTGGAAATTGTAGAGTGAATGTAAGTTTAATAGTAATGGAGTACTATATGGTTATTTCATATAGTAACTTCAACCAAAGAACTGTGTAATGTTGGGGAAAACCAGTCTTTGCCCTCCCCCATAACCTTCACTTAAACATACAAACAGAGTTGGAATTCCAGAACCCGAGTCTGATTCCATGTTCTCTCGCATTTTTGATGAATGAGTGGAGAAAATCTCTTCTCTGAAAAATAAAAGTGAGAATTGGCAACTTCCTTTGAAACAGTATCAACTCCATTGTTTATACATACAGTGTGTCTGTGTGCATCTACTTCTAACCACAGTTGCACAGCAGTGACACCTTGAGTATTGCCAGATGATTTTCTTTTTTATCTATATGTAAGCCATTTCTTTAAAAAGTGTTGAGGTGGGAAAACTCCTTTATCTCTAATCCTGCAGGCATAAAGAACATGACATCAACAAATACACCTGTGTTCAAAATTAAACATATTGTTGGTAAGCCACCATCTAGATAAAGCCTCTCACATTATTTTGTAATGAATCATCTAGGTCAATTTTCCATATAAAACAGCCAAGTTTGTCTTGTGATCAGAATCATCACTTTCCCAAAGCTATAAAAAGGATGAAACACAGGAAAAATACTTGCTTCAAGTTTAGAAGCAAATTTCTTTTCTTTTCTTTTCTTTTTTTTTTTGGTCAGTTGTGGGGCCTGAACTCTGGGCCTGGGTACTGTCCCTCAGCTCTTCAGCTCAAGGCTAGCACTCCACCACTTGAGCCACAACGCCACTCCAGGCCTTTTCTGTTTATGTGGTGCTGAGGAATAGAACCCAGGGCCTCATGCATGCAAGGCAAGCACTCTACCACTGAGCCACCCTCCCAGCCCTAGAAGCAAATTTCTGAGCAATGTTGGAGCTTAATAGGACAGTCTTGAAGGAAAACTTTGGTGCATGAGAGAACAAATCAAACCTCACACTTTCCTATTTCTATTTCCATCTAATATTTCCCTATATTTAGGCATTATCTTTCAAATCCTCATAAAACTAAGACTATCTAAAACCATGTTGATCATTAAATGATGCAAAAAAAACCCTGAAGAGAGACCATAGTGTTCAATCAATTCTTCTGTGAGACTTCACATTTTCTTCCATAGGACAGTACCCACTGATTGAAAAAGTATAGTGAACTGGATACCAGTGGCTCACACTTGTAATCCTAGCTACTCAGGAGGCTGTGATCTGAGGATTGAGGCTCAAAGCCAGCCCAGACAGACAAATCCCAGAGATTCTGTCTCCAATTAACCAGAACAAAGCCAGAGGTGAAGGTATGGCTCAAGTGGTAGAGCACCAACCTTGAGTGAAAAAGCTAAGGCCCAGTACAGGCATATTAAAAAAAAAAAAGTGAGTTGGGCACTGTAATGTTTAGCTGGAAGGAAATCAACACATGGTTCTGGCAGAAGGAGTTTATTGGGGGGAGAACATACTGCTGCCTGCACAGATGGAGGCTTGCCAGGAAGGGAAGGGAAGAAGGGGAGAAGGGTGACTTCTGGCAGGACTGGGGTTAATATAGGGAGAGGGTGGGGAGGAGTGACTGCAACCGGTGCTGACCATCTGGGAACCTGCCAAGGTCTGAAGGAGGTGTGACCACATGTCCAGATGTGACCTCAGATAAAGGGGAGTTAACTGCCCCCAGATGTCAGGTACAACAGTCACCTGGGTAACGCAGGTGCTGGGCAGAGACTTGGGGTGGACAAGTGTAGTCAGGCATGGAAAACAAAGGGGAAGGAGGGGAAAGTCTGCTTGCAGGATGGCACATAGAAAAGTGGCCCTTTCCCCAGGCAGACCTAATAGGTTCACACCTGTAATAATTCTAGCTACTCAGGAGACTCAGATCTAGAGGACTGTGGTCCAAAGCTAACCCAGGCAGAAAAATGTTAAATTCTGTCTCCAAAACAAAGCAGCAAAAGGCAGAGCTGGAGGCGTGGCTCACGCAACAAGAATACCAGTGAAGTAAGCAAACCAGATGAGCATGAGGCCCTTAGTTCAAACCCCAGTACTACCAAAAGAAACGAGTAGCACTTAAGAGTGTGGTCCTTGTGCCTTAGTTTTCCTAAGTTCTGGAACTTTTAAGTGTTGTGAATGGGATAATGGCCAGAAAATGAGAAAATAAGCAATGTTTTTACTACAACAATTTAAAATTATGTCTACATAAACTTTGTTCCTTCCAATAGAAAAATAGGCTCTATGATAATAGAATCCTGTTTAGTAATTACAGGGAAATGTTGCGTGTGTCTGAAATACAGTAAAAAAGAAAAAAAAAAATCCCAGCCATGTGGCAGTGGCTCACGCCTGTAATCATCGCTACTCAGGAGGCTGAGATCTGAGAATCACAGTTGGAAGCCAAGTTGGGCAGAACTACAATTAACCACCAGAAAACCGGAATTGGCACTGTGGCTCAAAGTGGTAGAGCACAAGCCCTGAGTAAAAAAGCTCAGGGACAGTGCCCAGAGCCTGAATTCAAGCCCCACGACTAACAACAACAAAAAATAAAATCCCTTAGTAAGTATGGGGCTTCTCAAAAGAATCCAATGCAAAGATAATGCCTTAAGGAACTCTCAAACTGACGTAACATTTCAGCACTTGGGGGAAATTTTATAAAGATAACGTGTGTGTGTGTGTGTGCACGCACCTTGAAAAGTGAATACAGTTCGGGGTGGTTTATCTGTTGGGAACCCGAGTTTTGAAATCGCTACACATTTAATGCATCATGAACATGTAATACTTCTAATTTCATTAGGACAGACCAGAATCAGAGGAGGTTACTGGGATTACCGACGCGGGTCAGTCACCGGCAAGGCAAAGGCGTGACACTTAACTCGTGTACTTGCCTCCACGTCCGGGCGACGCAACGGTGGCAGGAGGGCGAGGCGTCGCGAGTTCGGAGAGCACTGAGACCGAGTCAACCGCAGATTGGGAGAGAGGCTCACGAGACCCGCGTCTTCCCTCGCAGCCACTTTCCCACGTCCGGCCTCGGAGCGCCAGCTCCGCGCCACATTCAGAAGCAGGCGGCGCCGCCGGAAGCTGCCGCTCCTCCCGGGTTTCCCGGTGGCTAAGATCCAGACAACTTCGCTAGACGTTCCGCAGGCAAACGCAACGCTACAGGGCCAGAAAAAGAAAAAGATAAAAATCACAAGGCAGCTACCACCGCCCACCCCCGTCACGCGTGGCACCCCCGCCCGGCCCGCAAAAAAAGCAGGCCCCGCGTCGGCGCCCGCGAGTGACGTCACTTCCGCCAGCTCCGACTCGGGCGACGGCCAATGACGTCGTCGCTTCCGGGTCTCTGAGGTCACGGGCCCCGGCGCCCGAGGTAGGCGCTCGCCGGTGTCCGGTCTATGGAGTCAGTTGGCGCGGGAGTCGGCGCGGAGGCAGGAGGTGGTGTCCGAGTTGGGGCCTCTGCGCCTCCAGGATGTTACCGGGCTTGGCCGCCGCCGCAGCCCACAGATGTAGCCGGCTGCCTCTGTGCTGCAGGGCTGCGGCCCGTGGCTCGGGCGACCGCCAGGGTGAGTGTCCCGCGCCGGCCACCGGCTCCGCGGATCCCGGAGGGGCCCGTCCGGGCCCGGCGTCTCGGCGCCCGGTCTCCGGCGGCTTGTCGCCTTGTTCCCTCCCCCCCACCCCGGAACCCGCCTTTCCGGCCTCTACCTCTACAGGTCAGCCTGTCTGTCCCGTAGTAATGCCCGACAGGTAGCCTGACCCTGAGGGCGACCCTAACATGGACACCGTCGCTGCCCTCTCCTTTGTCTCGAACTAGAGGTAACGTGCGCCTCGCGGCGGCCGGGGATGACCGCCTGCACAGCTGGAAATGGCAGGTTCTGCAAAGTCCCAGCTTTTTTGGGGGGGGGGGCTCCTGGACTCACTTTCGTTTAGCACTTGGGGCCGAGATATCCGTGCGTTGCTCCCCCCTTCTTTTTTCCCCTCGTAATCCCTACTTGGTTTGAATCTCCTAAAAGACAAGGCGAGAGCGTCACTTATCAACGATCTTAAAAAACAAAACAAAACGTGTGTGAAACGTCCCAGAATCCTGGAATGAGCTCATTGGGACCGCAGAAGAAATCAACTCTGTCATTACCATTGAACAGCAGTCTTTTTTTGGTGAACAGTGTCTATTGGAACTTGAATCCAGAAAATAAAAGGAGGTAGATGAGAATTTCCATCTCTGTCGACATTATTTTTCTGAACTCAGATTTAAGTGGTCCGAAAAGTTCCAAAATGACATTGGGCTTGTAAATTCTGTTCTGATTTACCTCCCATTTTGCTATTCACGTACCCTTCATTCTTGGGACTAGCACATATTTGAAAAACTTGTAACATGTTTGTCACCAACAGAAGTCATAAGTTGCAGCACTCATGGTTTTTAAGTGGCACAGTTGTTATAAACTATGCTATGTGAGCAAAATATCTTTTATGATAAATGCAGAAACCAGCTCTTGAACATTTTAAGCGAATTTATTGTAGCATATTGGCAATATACCAGGTTGCCTTATGAGCAGAGTGAATCATGTAGTTATATCCTGTACTCTTAATATCCTAAATGAATTATTTTTTTAACATAACTGCTGCTAACCAAGCAATTTTGACATTTTACACTAAAATTATAGTGACTAGTACAACTTGTCTTTCAAGTATTGATAAAAGGAGTAGAAATAGTGTAATTTGTAATCCATATTCTCCAAAACTGTCATGTCAAGAATTATTTGCTGTTTGTTTCATCTGTCTGTGAAACTGAGATAATAATTATCTCAATAGAATGACTTTGAATAGATCTTTGGAATGTTTATTACAACTAAAAATCATATTTCACACTTTGATTAAAAATGACCTTTTTTGTGGAATGTAGTTTTAATATCTGAAACATTTGAAAAAGCAATTATAATCACAGTAAAATTTAAAAATAAATTAGAAAAAAAGTGCTGGTCAAGTTGCGTGCATGTGAAAAGATTAATGAAGCACTTTTGAGGGAAATTTTAAAAGCATTTTTCTTTGAAAAAGTTTTACTTTTGTATCTTAACATGCCTGTGTGTCTAGGAAAGTCTTCTAAAGAATAATGATGGGAGGGATGACATTGCTCAACTTGTACTCAGATATTGGCATGTTGAATTGAAAGGCCTTTGTCCAGCTATTTAAAGGTAATAATAATTAAAAAAAAAGACTGGAAGAAACTGTGGGAAATAATTACTTGATTTGAATACTTAAGATGAGAAGCACTTACAAAGGCAAAAAAAAAAGAGGACAGTATTCAAGAGCAGCACTGTCAAAAAGAAAAAAAAGGGTTCCATCTATAGCTAAAGTTGCCTAAAAGTCATATTACAAAAGCAATAAAAGATGATAGTGTTTTATCTGGTGTACTATTTCAGTATAGTCACTAAAAAGTGAGCTATATTATCTTCTCTTTGTATTGCCTTCAAAATGGAAGGTATATTTTACACTTAGAGCATGTGTACTAACCACACTTGATAATACAACACAGTGTAGGTTCAGTTAGTATACCACATTTATAAAGAATTTTTAGAACCAATGAACATTTCAGTAGGAAAATGGGCAAAGGCTTGAATGAGAAGTCCACAGAAAAGTTCCAGTGGCCAATAGAAATGCAAAAATGTTCCATGCTTATTAAAAAGTATGGGCATTTTACTACTGCCTATCTTGTATTGGGTTAACTTTTTGTAATGATGATACTGTTTCTTGAAGGTGCAGGAAGATAGCTCTTATTACTGATTTGGAACACAGTTGAACAATATTTTGGGAATTCATTCTTTGCCTTGCTTTTTTTTGTATTTTTTGTGTTTCTATGAACATGAACTGTAGTAGGTAGTAACTGACACAATAGTTGGGAGGGAGGGGACAAGTAGTGATCAGTAGCAGTAGTGGTCTGTAGAGCTGCAGAGACCATAACAGTAAATTAGCAGCAGATACTTGTGACTAGATCTGTGATTGTTGTCACTGGTAAGATACTAGCAATTCCACTATCTTTGCTGGAAAACAGCTCTTACAAATGCAGAAATAAAAAAAGTCCTTGCTTACACTGGACTCAGGTGGCTCAAGCCTGCAATCTTTGCTACTCTGGGGGCTGAGATCTGAGGATTGCAGTTCAAAGTCAGCCCAGGGAAGGAAAATCTGTGAGACTCTTAACTCCAATGAACCACCAGAAAACTGGAAGTGGTGCTGTGACTCAAAGTATTAGAGTGCTAGCCTTGAGCAAAAGAGGTCAAGGACAGTAATCAGGCCATGAGTTCAAGCCCTACAACTGACAAAAAAAGTCCTTGCAAAGGTTGGTAGAACAATAAGTGCCACACAAAAGACTATGATCCTGTATATAGCTTATTCTAGATGTCACTATAAAGAAGAGTATTAATACTAGGTAATATTTTTACTTTTTTATGCCAGTAATTAATTACTGAATTAATCAATCCACTAAGTCACTCAATAAAATGGTTGTTTCCACCACTGTGAATAGATATTTTTACTTAGTCAAATGTAGTCCTGTATAGAATATAGAATGTATTTGTATAGAACATAAACAATTTTTAATCTTGCATTAACCATTAAATATATACTTCCAAAGTTTCTGATACCTGAAATTCTACTGAAGTTAGAAATTAAGAATATTTCAAATAGGCAGCAAAGGAGCTAAGACTACTAAAATAGTTCATAAGAATATGAAGATTTCTTTTTGCCCATACGCACGAGCATTGTCTAAAACATGTCTTCTTTGTAGTAGTTAGGCCCTGCCACCACTCTGCTTGGCTGAGTTCACAAATCTTTTGTATCCTGTAGCTTTCCTGTCACTTCTCTGGCTCTCTTCTCCTGCTAATTAAAACCTTATTCTACTGCCATAGCTACTGCTGCTGCCATAGGCACTTTGTTTCGTGGTTTGCTTCTGCCCCCAAAGTTTCCTCCCTTCTTGAGTCCAAAATTTGAAGACTGATTCTTGTAGTTGCCAAAATCATTGTAGCTTCCACCACCTCCAAAACTGCTGCCATCATTACCAAATCCATTGTAGCCATCCCAACTGTATTTTCGAGGACTGTATTTGTGACTAATTGTATAACAGGTTATTTTGGTTTCTGTTCTGTGGAAAGTGTAAAGCATTCCAACAAAAAGGTTTTAATGTAGACTTTTTTTTTTTGTTTTTGCACCCATGTTGTTGATTGCTAAATATAATGGTGTGATCATGATGCTGAATAAATGTGTCTTTTAAAAAAAATGTGCTGTGTAAAGTTAGTCTACTCTGAAGCCATCTTGATAGACTTGCCCCAACAGTGTGGAGTTAGAATTACTTCAGGGTGGTGCCAAATTTTATTTGAAACTTACTCGGAACTACTTGGGTTCAGATGCCATTGTTTTCAGAAATAAACCTTGGTGTCATTAACTGACAGTTACTGTGACATTGATGAAATTTACCACTGACAGGGTGACTCAAGCAAAGTCATGGAATTTTATTTGGCTATGAAAACAATGGTTGGTACATCCTGTGCAATATCTAAATTGAATAATGGTACCAGATAAAATGATAGATGAGAATGAGACTTGTGTAGTATCCATTATCATGTGTAATCAAGAAACGATTTAATTCTCTGGGAAAAAAAAAGAATTTGAAGAGACCCCCCCCATTGGCCAAAAAATAGGAGAGTTTGAGCATTACTCAGGATATTGAATAAAATGCATTAAAATATACCAAATAATGTTTGAATCTATGAAATTATAATTGTACATAAACTAAATATGCAGTGATGACTGCAATATGTATGTAATAAGCTTAGCTTTTTGGAGAACTGGTAAATAAAGGGGAAGAAAAGCAGCTTGACTTGTCTATGTAAATGATACTAGTAGGTAACAAAATAAATGAAGGGAATTTTGTGATATTCTGAAAAATGAAGGAATAAAAATATTTCTGTTGTGTAACTAAGTGAATAAATATTTCTAGGCACTGAGCAACAATAGACGCTACTAACAAAGTTGGGGTGGGCGAGTGTGCCTAGTGCTGGAAATCATACCTAGAACATTCTAGACAAGCATTTTACCACTGAACTACATCCAAGCCTGCAGTCTGTAGCTCTTGATAAGAACCTTCATCTCTACTTAAGGGGCATTAGAAGAGGGTGTATTTCTCTGAACCTGAATTTTAATAATGGCTTTATACTAACTAATTGATTTATAGAAGATTTGGAAGAGCAGGACACACAACACTATGGGAATTTAACCAGCAAAATTTAGACTACGAATCTACAGTGACAAAAATTCAAGACTAATAACTTTATTTTTAAAATGCTCTGTGTGTGTGTGTGTGTGTGTGTGTGTGTGTGTGTGTGTGTATTTGAAAGAGAGAAAGAGAGCGCGTGAGAGCAAGAGCGCACACTCTGGCTCAAGTGCTTGAGAAAAAAGCTCAAAAGATAGCACCAAGAACTGAAGGAAGGAGACAGGAAGGGAGGGAGGACATTCTGTAGCTTACATGCGACTTAAACACATCTCTGTCCATCATGGTATATAGACTGCTTAGATATGGTCACATGAAAACAAAAATTATAATACTTGAAAGTGAGGATATTGATTTTAAGGACTTTTATTTAAAAAGATTGTCCCAGACATGCTGAAAAAATTATAAATAAAATTGTATGTTCAAGATTTGCTTCCTATTAATATATTGTAAAGCTATCAATGCAGGAAGAGCTGAGACAAGATTGACCATAAGTTGAAAATTGTTGAATATAGGCATTATGTGGAAATTTATTGTATTTTTTTCTATCTTTGCATATGGTCGAACTTCAATAAACATTTTTAAAAAATCTTGAAAAATATAGCATCAAGTCATGCAAACAAGTCCTCTTCAGGGGAAGGAATTTTAGACCAGAGTAATCCTCCTTTAAGTGTCTTAACAAAAACTGTATAAGTATTTTATCAGTAGGTGGAAAAAAAAGATGTTGGCAAATTGTTCTTGTTAGGTTGTAATTATAAAAGATACTTTTAATAGTGCTGACAAGTCAGAACAGTGGCCATAGTTAAGGTGCTTTTCCTAAAACATAAGTTTCTTAGGAGACTCTGTTAGCCCTTCTTCATTAGTTACCCAGAATACAAAAATCAAGTGCTTTGTCATCAATCTCCAGTTTCTCTCAAAACTACCAGGCATTTCACCAAATGTTGATCTAATTGTCTTAAAATTAGTGAATATATAACTTATTATTGTAGTTCACTTATGGTTCAAAAAATGGAGGAAGAATAAATAGCTACTAGAAAAAGGACAAGATAATTTTGAGCAAAGAGCCTTCTCGACCATCTTCCATTCCTAACATACATTATGTGTTCTGTGTGTGTGTGCGCGTGTGATGCGCGTGCATACACTGATATTAAAGCTTGAACTCAGGTCCTTGCTTGCTCAGCTGTCAGTACCACTGATCCATGCCTTTACCTTGGCTTTTTGATGATTCATTAGAGATGGAATTGTCTTAAACTTTTCTACCCAGGTTCTCTTCCACATCTCAGCCTCTTGAATAACAGGATTACAGATATGACTCACTGGTATCTGGCTTTGTAAAAACAAAAACAAAAAGCATTCAGGTAACATACAAAATAAAGAATATCCTATGTTATATATATATATACATATATGAATAGCTGGCTATGAATGCATATGTATATTTTATGCATATAAAAATATGTATTTAAGATTTTCAAATTTACAAACTAGAGAAATGAAGTGTCTGTATTTTTTCTGTATAAAATATGATCCCTGTATAACTTAGATACCTCCAATGAAGAAGATGACTAGTTAATTGTACACTTGGGAGTCAGTTTGAAATTAATTTTTTTTCTTTTAGGATTGCGGAATTTAGTGACATTTGGAAGCCTTTCATACATGGTTCCTTATAGTCACCCACAGATTTGTACAGTCAGTCAAGTAAAGTTGTATTCTACAAATGTCCAGAAAGGACAGGGATTACAAACTCTCAAAGTTGAAAAAAGACCATCATTTGATGAAACAGGTATGTATAAATTTTCTTAAATTTTTTTCCATACACCGAAATAATTTCTAAGATTAGTTGTTCCTAGAGTATATGATAGAAATTATTTCTAAAACTATTAGGACCTATCTGTTCTTTGTGGGGACTGCTATACTGCTGATGTAATTTCTATAATTTTTCTATTTCTTTTTTTCCCCAAATATCTTAGTTCTGTATTTTTTTTCCCCTAGGAATTTATACACTTAAAATTCTTATTTAACTGGGCGCTGTTAGCTCATGCCAGTAATCCTAGCTACTCAGGAGGCTGAGATCTGAGGATTGCAGTTCAAAGCCATCCTGGGCATGAGACTCTTATCTCTAGTTAACCACCAGAAAACTGGAAGTGGCGCAGTGGTTCAAGTGGTAGAGGGCTAGCCTTGAGCTGAAGAACTGAGGGGCAGTGCCCAGGCCCAGATTTTAAGCCTCACTACCACCACCACCAACAAGATTCTTATTTACAGGCATAAAGTTCTCTTAATAGTAAATATTAACAGCAAATATATATATACATATGTGTATGTATATATATATATATATATATATACCATTTTTAAAATTTTCTAATTAATGTTTTCCTTTAGATCTTTTTTCCCCTCAGCTCTGGGCTTTGAACTCCAGTTATTGCACTTGTTACGCTGACACTCTGGTTTTTGCTGTTAGTTCAGGATGGGGTCTTCTGAACTTTTCTGCCCATGTTGGCATTGAACCTCAATCCTTCCATTCTCAATCTCCTGAATAGCTTTGATTATAAGCACTTACCAGCTTTTTGTTTAATTTTGCCAGGCTTTTTCTATTATTTTTCAGGTGTTCTTATTTTGTTGTTGTTTTTACTTGAGCCATTATAGTATATTTATTTCCTATTAATTTCTACTCGTTTGTTAGTGTTGAATATTAAAATTTTACTACAAAATTATTTCTGGCCACAAAAATTGAACAAATAGGCACTAAATAATTTCTTCCTGTCATCAGCAGTACATAAAACATACACTATCATTGATTGGCCCATAGCACTAAAATCTACTAGAACACATTAAAATCTACTAGAACATAATATTAACTGACAGCAGCATCTCAGAAATTTTTACATATGTATATATACATATATGTATATATATATATATATATACACACATAATACACAATCCATATTCAGCCATTTTCACATGTTTCAGTACATACAGTTGCAGTTTATTATAGTCACCTGAGTTGTTGCTCTTTAGGGCAATATTAAAACTTCTACCCAGAATTTAGTTTTGTAAAGTTCTGCTTACCAGAAATATTCTCAGAAAAAAATGAATGCTCTTAGCTGGGTGTCAGTGGCTCACGCCTATACTGCTAGCTACTCAGGATGCTCAGATATAAAGATCAAGGTTCAAAGCCAGCCAGGCAGAAAATTCCCCATGAGACTCTTATCTCCAATTAACTACTGAAAAACTGGAAGTGATGCTGTGGCTCAAGTGGTAGAGCACTAGCTTTGAGTATAAAGAAGTTCAGCAACAGCACACAGGCCTCTCAGTTCAAGCCCCACAACTGACAAAAAAATTCTCTCTTTAAAATAATTTACACTTTGAAGATTCTAATATACTGATGCCTAGTATTTTCTTTTTCTTTTTTTCTTTTTGGTCCAGTCGTGGGGCCTGAACTCTGGGCCTGGGCGCTGTCCCTCAGCTCTTCAGCTCAAGGATAGCACTCTACTATTTGAGCCACAGCGCCACTTCTGGCTTTTTTCTTTCTGCTTATGTGGTGCTGAGGAATTGAACCCAGGGCCTTGAGCGTGCAAGGCAAGCGCTCTACCACTGAGCCACCTTCCCAGCCCCTGATGCCTAGTATTTTCTAACATGATTACTTTTCTCTCTTTAATTTTTATTGCTTTTAGTTTTTAATATATTCCTATTTCCATTTTGATTCTACTTTGACTTTTGAGTTATTAAAGTATGTTTTTACATTTCCAGATAAATTTTTCTAGCTATGTACTAAACTTAATTTTATTATTTTAAAATATTTATTTGATTAAGTCATGAAATTTGTTGAGCCTAATGTCCTGTTGTGTCATTTGGTAATTTTTTCTGTTTTTTCATTTTTGTTTTAATTAGCATACACAAGTGGTACAATGGCCCATAAGTGGTACAATATGTGACTTTACACACATACAATATACTCCATCAGACTTATCCCTTTCATCAATATCCTTTGTCCTCCCTCCTAGTTTATTAGAGAAATTTCAATAGGTCTTGTCTATTTTTATATACACATGTAAAACACATCAGTCATATTCACCTTATTCATCTTCTGTTGTTCCTCCTCCTCTTGCTTGTAGAGCCTTTTTTTCTTTCCTACCATTCTTTTTTTCATCATGGTATTTTGCATGTGTATGTATTTTAACCCAAATGACTCCCGCTACCCCCATGTTGTCCAACATTTTTCAGTTAGAGTCCGTTCTAAATAATCCTCATGTACTTTAAAAATAAAATTGTGTGTGTGTGTGTGTGTTTTGTCAGTCATGGGGCTTGAACTCTGGGCCTGAGCACTGTCCCTCAGCTCAAAGGCTAGTGCTCTACCATTTGAGCCACAGTGCCATTTCCTGTTTTCTGAGTGGTTTACTATTTTTTATGAGTCTCACAGACTTTTGTGCCCAGGCTGGCTTTGAACTGCCATCCTCAGATCTCAGCCTCCGTAGTAGCTAGGATTATAGGCGTGAGCCACCGGCACCTGGCAATAATGTATATTTTTGATTGCTAAGGAAAGATATATATATGTGTGTATATATCAATTCCAATTATGTTGTACAGCTGTATAGCCTTTTAAAAGTCAATTATTGGGGCTGGGAAGGTGGCTCAGTGGTACAGCGCTTGCCTTGCATGCATGAGGCCCTGGGTTCGATTCCTCAGCACCACATAAGCAGAAAGAAAAAAGCTGGAAGTGGCGCTGTGGCTCAAGTGGTAGAGCGCTAGCCTTGAGCTGAAGAGCTGAGGGACAGCGCCCA